CGTGTTTCCGGAACGGTTTAACATGTTTCTGCCACGTTTCTGTTTACGGATTCTTGCAATTTCGTCCTGTGAAATATATAAAGAGAATTACCTGAAGGGGTAGCAGGAGATTTGAGTTATCGAGGGTAAAATTGCGGTAAATGTATGACGGATATCAAGGGAGAAATCATTATCAATTTTGGTTCGAGTTGCCGCGATGTTGAGTTCAGGATGTTTCGAGTCATCGGGAGTCGACTGCAATGTCGATTGGACATTAAAGTAGATACAGTTTTTTAGATTTAACACCAAAAATGAAACTGATGTGGCGAGATAAAATTCTCTTGATTATGACTTGAGGGAAAACGGAAGAAAAACCCAACGCGCTTATTTTATGAGAGACAATTTACAAATACACCCTCTCCAGGAGATGCTCTCTAGAAAATTGGAATTTATGTTTACGAGATATTTGGCCATTAAATTTAACCATGCATATCCAAGGACTGAGCAACTTAGAATTATTAAAGAAGCTTCTTCTTATGTATGTTTGACTTGACCACCGTAAGGACAAGTGTACACACACACATGCGTGCCTCCTTATTCCGCTTAGGATCTCACGTGACACGTGCTCTTTAAGATTTGTTTGCTTTATCAAGGTAGAGAGACTATGAATATTTTCAGAAATAAAACAAAAAGGCAAAAGCTGTTTGTGCCTGAGCCATACACATACATAATTTGTATGCATTGCCTAACCTCTCATAACGAACACCCACAGCTATGTATGGATTACGTTGCATTGCTCAAAGAGAAACATTTGATTACCAGACATTTCTCGCTGAGGGACAAAGAAAATGGATCGGAGTCAACTATATTACACTACCCGTTCTGTGTCAAGCTCTCAGCTTAGCACAGCCTACCCAAATTATGAAATCTAATCAAAGACATCAGTACCTAATTTAATGAGTTCGACTTCTTAAGACTACAGATAACATACCTTATTTAAATACGGTCGTGCTATTACACGTACGGTAGATATACGAGTTCTAGTGGATATGGAAGTTCCTGAGTTGGAAGAATAATCATTCCGTCATGTACATGTGACTTCCACTCTCGGGAGCAGGAAGCTAACCCTAAACCTAACCCTAAGCTCGTTGTTGTAAGACTAAACACTAACTAAGAGGACTATTACAGTATAATATATATGCTTACTGTTGTTCCGTAAAGGCTGTTCGCTAGACTATGGGCAATACAATATTACGAAAGAAAAAATAATAATTTCAGAGCTTAAACGAAAAGTTCAAAAATAGTCTAACCATTTAATCTTCACTTACCATGGCACAATGATCAGAACAACAGTTTAAAAGGCTTTCCTAATTCTTATGATACCAAACACTGTGTTCACTAGGCAACCAAATATCTTACACTTAGATATAACTGGTGCAAATATGAAAAGATTTCCAAAACATTAGTCTAGTGACGTAGGACTTAGAAATTAGCGAGTAACAGCGCAAAATAACACGATCATAAGTTCTTAGAAACGATAAAATTCAAGATTCAAATTTAATCCGGTCATGAATAATTAAGATGCAAAAGCTTTCTGATAAACTCTTTCCTTCCTTCTGTTGGGTATTTCGGATTGGTTTTTGGATCCTGTATACATCATTTTCTACTTTTTCGTTTTGTTTTTCCGTTCGAAATACCACTAATTTTTATTCATTGATAACCTACGCTTGACAATATGTTAGACAACCCCGAATATTTTAAGAAATTAAAACAAAAAGGCAAAAACTGTTTGTGCCTTAGCCATACACATACATAATTTTTATGCATAACTCGATTGCCTAACCTTCCATAACGAACACCCACAGCTATGTATAGATCACGTTGCGTTGCCCAAGTGAAACATTTGACTAGCAAGTATTTCTCGCTGAAGGACAAAGGAAATGGATCGGAGTCAACTATGTTATACTACCCGTTCTGTATCAAGCTCTCAGCGTAGCACAGCCTACCCAACTTATGAAATTTACTCAAAGACATCAGTACCTAATTTAATGAGTTTGACCTTTAAGTTCGACTGTATTATATATATGCCTACTGTTGTTTCGTAAAGGCTGTTCACCAGATCATGGGCAATACAATATTACTAAAGAAGAAAAAGAGTTTCAGAGCTTAAATGAAAGTTCAAAAATAGTCTTACCATTATTTCTTCACTTACCATGACACAATGATCAGTACCACAGTATAAAAGGCTTTCCTAATTCTTATGATGGCAAAAACTGTACTCAACAGGCAATTAAATCTCTTATGCCTAATACACATACATAATTTGTATGCATAACTCCATTGTCAAACCTTCCGTAACGAACACCCACAGCTATGTATAGATCACGCTGCGTTACTCAAGTGACATATTAGATTAGCAAGTGTTTCTCGCTAAAAGAAAAAGGAAATGGATCGGAGGCAACTATGTTATACTAACCGTTCTGTATCAAGCTCTCAGCTTAGCACAGCCTACCCAACTTATGAAATCTACTCAAAGAAATCGGTACCTAGTTTAATGAGTTCAACTTCTAAGTTCGACTGTATTATATATATGCTGGATTTTGTTTCGTAAAGGCTGTTCACCAGATCATGGGCAATACAATATTACTAAAGAAAAAAAAGAGTCTCAGAGCTTAAATGAAAGTTCAAAAATAGTCTTACCATTAGTAGTGTCTGGGTCCGAGTTTAGTCTGTAGCCAAGGTATGCAAGTCTAAGTCTTTAGTGCCATGACATGGAGTTCTGAGCTAGCAGTGACTCTTAAAAATGAGTAAGAGGTTCTTGGGAGTCTGGCACTATTTCACGAGCTGAATTGCTGAAAACAATAGGCACAGTATATCTTTCCTTGAGCCAGCGATATCCAAGGCGGTTTGACGTGAGCCTATGGCAGTAGATAGGGCTAGATCAGTAGAGAACTGTACCAGACTAATTGAGCAAATTTAAGCAAAATTGAGCAAATTGATAAATTTGCCAAATTAATTGTGTAGTTGCTTGTCTATTAGGTTACTTAAGATTTTAAAAACGGAGAAGAGAAAGAGAATGAAGAGGCGCTGTTGTCTGGTAACAAAAACAATTTACAACAAACTTGCTGAGGCAGGGTAAAAAAATTTTTAATACAACTTACATCTACACATCGTCTGCTTTATTTGCTGGAATGATATAACGATCGCGTAACCAAGGTTTTTCAAAGCTACCTGAAGTTCCAAATCCCAAGGTTACCTCAGTATCAAATAATAAACTTCTTACATAACTATACAAAGCGCAAAGCCTAAGAAAACTAAATACCTTTAATTTATGGAGGTTACCACTTTATTGTAAAATAAGCTTAATAAGTAAATTTAGTCACTAGAAATGTACCAGTAATACTCGTTACTAACTTAATAGATGACTACCGAAATTTCAGGAGCAAGCTCGATTTTTCTTCCCTTCCTCTTTATCACACGTCTCCCGAAGGCAAAGAAGATGAAATTTGAAACTCTTACAACTCCTTCCTATTCTGGTGTAACTATATACGAAAAAAAAGGTTGTGGAGGGGCTTTATTCCACACAGAAATCTAATAACCATCAAACACTACCAGGAATTTAACAACAACAACATGTGGAATGTTTTGTTTGGCTGAAAGTGTAGGGGTTATAAAATCCTTTGAAGCTTTTTTTTATTTTAGATTACGAAAAAAACAACCCGCTACAAAATCTAATTTGCTGCTCAAGCCTGTGGACAATTTACTCTGTCGTTTCCTTACAATGAGAAGAAATATAATTTTATTTTACAATGGCCTTACTATTATGATACACAGAGCTCTCCATCTCCTCGCCAGACTAGCCGATGCTTTGCACACTTTTATGCAAATCTTTTAAGGGATGAATGGCCTTCCACTAAAAGCAGTAAATTTGGATATAAAAGTCACCGAAAAGGAATCACTTCAACCTAAGGGGATCCTGCCACCCTCATTTCCCCTCCCCCCTCAGGTTTGCGTCCTTGTACAAGTAAGATTAAAATAACTATTACGATCTTTAACCCTCTATACCCTAACAATCTTCACTGTTCTCTTTATATTTCCTCTGGTTCTGACAATGAGAGTTTGTCTGATAATCAGGAGCTTGCTAAATTGGTGATCATTGCCTTTATTTTCGTCACATTCACCATTTGATTCTAGAGCGATACAGTGAAGTCAAATTAGGAGCCAGTCATTCCTAGGCATAAAGAGTTAAATTCACGCCTACAATAAAGAATGAAAACTTCAATCAAGACACTTAATAAAACATTTCAATTAGGAACAATTCGCCTTTTCTTGGAATTCAGCACTGAGCACTGGAGTCGAGTTTGTTATTCATTCATTCCTGTCTGACTGTACAAAGGATGGCGACAAATTGGGCAGCTGCGACTGCAAATTAAAAGGAAATATTTCAAGTGAACTTGAGAAAAACTAGTGTGGGAATGTCACAGTAGAATCTGGCCTACCTAACATTAAAAGTCTTACAAAGTTTATGAATGACATAATATCGCTTTAGATTAAAGACAGCTCCATGACAACATGCAAAGAGCGTCTCGAAACCAAACTGAAACTATCTCTGGACCTAAGAAAAGCTAAGTGGACAATCAGGGCATTACCCGGGATATGTCGATTTAACCAGAGTTATTCCCAGCTGTAGGCGGGAGCGGAGGTCTGTCTCTCCGAAATTCCGTACTGTTGATTCTTGATGTAGTTTCCTATCATTTCCCAAGTTATTTTAATCGCAAAAACCAATCGCTGTTTGTCAATAAATCGCTTTCACCCACTGGCGACCAAGGCTCCTTAAGAAGAGACAGATTTTTTTCATTTTACATGCAGCTGAAAACTACTCATTGTAGACTCATAGCTCGAGCAGGTCCACACACACACCCAATCCAGAATTGAATACCAACAAATTTTCGGAGCAGTGGAGTGTTCTTCCATATTTAAGTTTATTCCCAAAAATAGATATCACCTTATTTCATGCATACTTACACGCCGTTCTGTATCATAGCAATAGCGCACTCTCGGTGAACCTTGTGTGAGCATGGCAGGATCTGACAACCGCTGAAAGCGTCCTGAAATAAAGAACCGATCAATGAAATAAAAAAAAATGTTTGGATTGTGATCTAATTGCCATGCTTCTCTTTCGTTAGATTTCCACTCAAGAAATGCAAGCACCTGACGTTACTATGCGTAACAGGTGAATAAAACCAAATTGAGTGCAAGGTTAATTGCTTCGCATAAAGGGGAAAATCTTTTCGAAGATATTTCTCCCATTCCTTACTCTTATCCAGTCTTAATGAGTAATTACGTAACTACCTCTAAACAGATGCAGCACTCATCGTGTCCTGAATTTGCTCGGCAAGAATGTTTTCCTTCCAGCCGTTTGTCCAGACAGACGTTACACACATCACAGTGGAAGGAGCGGTCCTTGTAGATACTGAACGGGAAATAGGAGCATCACTTCGCACGTATTTACTCGAGCACAACATGATACGTTGGGGAAACAAATTTCTAATTCATACTGAAAAGCGCTGTATTTCTACTTGATAAGCTGCAATAATTACTGAGGAGGAAGCTTGATACGTATGAGGAAACCAAAACTGATGTTTTGTGGGATTCAATGAGGTGTTTTAACCACTCATCGATGAAGCAATTCTCTGTAATATTTTGCTCTCGCTCTAAAGGCAGCACCCGGATTCTTCATTCATACTGTAACACAAGTGAATAACTCCTTGACTTGGTACTGAAGCAGGCCAATGACTCCCTGAACCTTATTCTTTTGGACAACAAGCATAATATCCAAATAAAGGGAAAAAAATTCGTCATGAATATTGTTTCACCCACCGGCAGATACCACATTTTTCGCAGTGATAAGGAGCTTTATCCTCCCCTGTGAAGTGTTTACACACCGAGCAGAAATATGCCGAGAGCCTTGTTTTGCATCTGACACAGGTGTGGGCGTCCTGGTTGATCTTAAAAACCAAACATTCGAAGTTAAATCGGTTATAACCTAAGAGTAAGAACCCTCTTTCATCTTATATAAAATTTCAAGTCAATGTCATTCCTATTTACCTCTTGTTGATGGCTACAAACAGAGCACTCAACAGAACACGCCTCTCTTGCTTTGGAATTATCATTTGGGCACCCAGAGTTGTTATGACAACGATGACAAGGAAAGAACTTTCCGCAGCACGAGAACTTGACACGGCAGAGCCGCTGATAATGTTCACACAGCCATTGTCGAACCTCAGCAGGAGCCGAGTCTTGCGAAGGTGTTTCTTGTCCACCGCTCGTGGAGTTCCCTTCTACTCTTTCATTCATGAGTTCCGTTTCTCTCGCTTCCCTCGCTTCCCTTTCTTTTCTTTCACGTGCAAGTTGTTGTTTCCTTGCCCACTCTTCTTTTCTCTTTCGCTCCGTTTCTTTCATCGATTTCTCTCTTTCTTGTCTTTCTTTCAACGTTTTCTGGACAAGACAGCAAGCTTCAGCCACACGTTGCTCGAGGACGGCCAAAGACTCGTCAGCAAATGTGTTTGAATTACTGTTCAACAGACCCTGACCAGCTTCTGCACTTTCCCCGTCCAGAAGAAATCCCGTAGCGTCATCTCCTCTTTCAAACTGCGATGACAACATCGGCCTTTCGGCGAGTACATGTCCATTTGTGAAGATATTTGGCGGGGTTCTTGCCCGTGCATTACTAGTGGGAAACTCTCTGACTGTCAACGTGAGATTTGCTTTAGATCCATCTTCGACGAAACTTGAAGATTGAGGTAGTCCTATGGTCTTCGCTGGAACAGTTTTGGGCATCAGGACTAAGTTGAGGGATGACTTTTGCGGCTGATAACCATCACGACTTGAGTATATTTGTGGAGGAGATCCCATGGTACTGGCGTAGGCAGAATAATCTCCTGCATAAAATTTTGTAGAATCACGACATTCAGGAAGTGTCGATGAACTTGGGGGAGTAGGGTGGTTCACTTCAGGTATACATCCAGATCTGTTGTACTCGGAGTGTGTACCTGCAGGCAATTCTAAATCTTCACATGGGCCACAAGAATCCCAGCGCTCATCGGATGCATTGCACTCACAAGAATGACGTGCGAGAAAAATGGGATCTAATCCGATGTGATTTGTTCCAAAGTCATCCTCAGTTGGATCTCTTTGTGAACTGTGGCCCGACGGAAGATCGCTTCGGCGTCCACCTTTCAAACCAAGAGATCTTTTTTCTTTCGAATTACTCTCATGGGAATCTCCTGGTGTTTTTGGAAGGGCAACAGCTTGGGTATTCCAATCCTTGTCAAAGCCGCAAGCCTCATTTGTAGGTAATACATCGCAGTTTTCACCGCTGTCTGCAACCACATCCCCTCCCTGAAAAGAAGCTTTAA